ATCTGCACTCTCCTGGGGCCTAGGCTGTGTGCTCCGGGGCAAACTGTGAGGTCCCAGAGCCAAGAGGCCAAGAGCAGGGCTTGGGTCCGGGGGGTGGGGGGGGGGTCCCACCTTCTCGTGGCCGACCAGGGCCCCCTGCTTTCGGATGCTCTTCTTCGTCAGGTAGATAGCTGGAAGGACAGGGGGCCAGGCTGCAGAGGAGAAATCTCTGCCCCTCGACCCTTGTGGCATCACTTGGGTGGGAGGGCAACAGTGCTAGGAACTTGTCCCGGGTTAGGGCCCACTCCTCCTCACTCACCATAGTCCAGCTCAGCAGCTGGCCACAGGGTGCTCGTCCAGAAATAGGGCGTCTGGTATGGTGCAGGGACAGGGTGTCCGGGACCTCCTGGGCCTTCCCCACCCCAGGAGTTGTCCACCTTCCCAGGTCCCCTGGGAAGAGGGTGGGCTGGCCAGGCGGTGCCTCAGAACCTGCCTGTCTGCCCACAGCCTGGAGATTCACAGACCACTGGCCATTCTCCCCCACCTGGAACTGAGTTCTGCTCACCCCCTGGGGCCCAGTGCAGGCACTGCCTCCTTGACCGGGCTCCCTGAGTCCCTACTGCCAGGTGGGGTGGGGTGGGGCCTGCCCAAGTCATGCATGTACTCAGTCTGTGCTGAGGACTGAGAGCAAACCCTGCCTGGGTCGCTGTTGTAGCCACGGAGGCCAGGCAGGGGAGCTCCACCGTGATTGGGGATACACAGCAAGATGGCAGGATTCTGTCCTCAGGTACCACCCGAACTTCTTCATGAGCAGGGGCTGAAGGACCCTCACGGAAACCATCAGAATCCTCCACAGGTCCTATACCCTTTGTGGGAGCCCTGTTGTAGCCTCAGAGAAACCAAATGTCTCTCCCCTTAATCGGGTTTTTCTACTACAGGACACTCATAGTCCAGGCCTTTCGGGGAGGGGCAGTGGATCCAGACCTGTGATGACATCACCACTTCCTACTCCAAACACAGTCTCCCCCCCTCCACAAGTCCCCTCTAGTGGGGCTGCTGGCTTGGGGTTCCCACCTGCTCCCAGTTGCACCTGACCTGGAATCTGTAGGGTGTGTCGTCTGGCCGGAGCACAAGGCTGCGGGGTCTGCGCAGAGGGTATAGGTAGCCGTGCAGCACCAGGAGGGTGCCCAGGTGCAGGGCCTCTGGGGGGAGGGGCAGGGTGGCGAGCGCTCAGCCTGGGAGAAGCGATTTGGAAGCTCTCCCTCCCCAGCGCACTTGGCTCAGCCTTAACACCTGTGAGCCCTGAGCAGGCCCAGCCCTGGCCATCAGCACAGCGAGCCCCGGGCAGAGGGCAGGGGGCAGGATAACCCCCTTACCCTCCTCTGAGATGCAGTACTTCTGGACCAACCAGTCCACGACGTCGCTGCCTGCACACCAGAGACTGGCATGGGGCAGGGGTAGGCGAGGCTGGGCCGCCACCAACCCCGGACCCGGGGGGCGCCTCACCAGCCACGGTGTGGGGAATGACGGTGATGCGCAGGCGCTGGTTCCGCATCTCCACGCCCTGGTCGGGGTCCTGCATGCTCACGACCACCCGCTCCATCTGGGCGAAGGGTGGCCTTGAGGGGCTGTTCCGGCCAGCCTCCCCCCACCCCCACATCCTGATTCCCCGCAACTGGCCGGGATGCCCGGGATCGGTGAGCTCAGAGAAGATTAACGCGTATGACGGTGGGATTTGGGGCCGCGGCGGGCAGCGGAGGAGCGGGGGAGGGGGAGGGGCGGAGGCGAGGACCGCTCCCCCCCCCCCCCCCCCAGGCCCGGCCTCCGCCGCCTCGCCCCGTCTCACACAGTGCCATCGCCCCCAGACCCGCGTCCACACTCGTGCGCACCCGCACCCACCCCTCTCCTGCCGCTCCCGGCCTCACATGCCGGGAAATCCGGGGGCGGGGGATGGCGGGACCCCCACCCGGCACCCACCTTGCTGAGATGCGGCATCTGCGCACCCGGGCGTCCGCCGGCCATGGCGGCGGTGAGGCCAGATGGCGCGTGGGTGTGGAGCCGCCCCCGGCCCGCACGCCCCGCCCCCGGCCCGCACGCCCCGCCCAGCTCGCCAGGCTGGCTCGGCTCCGCAGCCCCGCCGGCCCCCGGCCGCGTTAGCCTCAGCGGCCGCACCGTCTGGGGTCTGGAGTCGGGAGGAGTCTCCCCCCGCGTCAGGAGAAACTGAGGCCCGTGCCCGTGCCCGTGGGAGGGGCCCCGCCCCTGGATGGTGTGGGGGACTGTGAGGGAATCGCAGCTCACCTGGGACAGGTGGGGGGGCTCAGGGAGAGGAGGGTCTCTAGGAGAGGTTCTTTGTGGGGAAGGTGGGGTAGGGAGGAGGACACCAGTTTAAGGTCTACGGTAGCACCTGCCTCGCACAGCCAGCCCCTGTGTGGCCTCCTCGGGATGCGGCCACACTCGTGGTGGAGGGGGCTGCGCAGTCAGGACGCGGGTTTGTGTGCCCCAGGAGTGTGTTTGTGATTGGGACGCCGGATGTCACACCGTGTCAGCGCCTGCAGGCTGGTGTGACACTGGAGGGCTGTGCAGGTTCATCGAGGCCTGGGGGGATGGCAGAAAGCTCACTTCCCCCAGCTGCACGGACACCTGGGCGGGACCAGTTGGGGAACAGGCAGAGACTCCACAGATGCAGGACATCTGAGACTGTGGGAGAGGAGCATTATGGAGAGAGAGGATCTCAGCACCCACCCCCCCAGCCCCCACCTCCAGACACACCCATGGTGCACCTGCCTCCTCTAGGCTCCCGGCCCTGTCCTGGCCCTTTCTCTCCCTGCTCCAGCAGCTTGGTTACTACCACCCCACAGCCCTGTTGCTGGACATTTTTTTTTTTTTTAAGATTTTATTTATTTGAGAGGGAGCAAGAGAGAGCATGAGCCAGGACGGAGGACAGGGAGAAGCAGACTCCCCGCTGAGAGGGGGCCCAAACACGCAGGACTTGATTCCAGGACCCCGAGATCATGACCTGAGTCGAAGGCAGACGCTTCACCAACTGAGCCACCCAGGCGCCCCCATTTTTAAGAAGTTCAAATAGGTCTATTTCTGCTTCTTTGGAGATAGAGTCCCTCTGTTCCCTCTGGGCGTGCTGGGGACAGGGCAGGATAGATGGGGTTGGCCCTTGGCCTACAGCCTTAGACTGATCCATTTCCACTGCTGACAAGGCCAGGTCCAGGATGAGCTGGGGCAGGGGGACCAGATTGGGGGCTACCTCTACCAGGGTACCATCCTCCCTTAGATCCCAGTGAATTCGCAACCATCCCCACCCACACAGGTGGGGTCAGGCTAGTCCTGACGGTTCCTTCTGGGTGGGTGGGTATCTACAGAAGCTGAGGGCCACCAGAGGCCTTAGCTGTCCCCAGCCTCAACAAGTGGCTTCTGGACCAACTACCCCCCATCCCCACCCCCAGGGAAAGGGCAGCAGAAATGAGGGAATCCTGCCTTGGAAACATTGTGGACAGGTGGAACTCCAAGGGGGATGGACACCAAGCCCATGTGTCCCCTAGCACCCATGGCCCTCCTCTGCAGAAATTTTGGAGGTACAGGTGGGGGAATCATAACACGGTCCCCTGACTGGGCTCTGGTGGGGGTAGGGAGGCTTTGTCTACGCTAGATACTCAGGGGCAAAGGAGCCAAGAGTGGACGGGGGTCTGTTTGTGAAACCAGGGTGGCAGGGGGACCCTCTCCCTCTTGTTTTATGCAAAGGTAGGTATGAAGCCTGGGTGTCCTTGGAAATTGAGGGGGCAGAAGGGGTATATGGAAGAAAGAGGGACTTGGGCTGGTGTTCTACCTCCTCCACTCAGACCCTTGATCCGGCGCTCCCCAGCCTGACTTGCAGCCCCCCCCCCCCCCCCCCCCCCCCCCCCCCCCCCCCCCC